ACGCTTGGCCTGTAGCACAACTTGGGTACTTGGTGTTATTTTGCATCTTTTCTTGCGTTTTCGTCTTCTTTTCGTGCAACTTTCATTCGACTCTTTCTTCCGATGCTCCTACACATAAAACAACATAATTTAGCTCAAATGTTGCACAATCGATCACTAAACCAACAAAATATAGGGCGAGTAATGTACTAAAAGTATAACATTTTGGCCAAACATCAACTACACATACATATTTATAGTTTTTCTTCATTTGCACGTGAAGCCCACGCTTTATTTGCGCTTACAGCCCCAACAGACCTTAGAGCTTTTTTGCGCTTTTCACCTTTGATAACACTTATTTTAATATTAACCTTACACGTTGATAAGGGTGTCTGTGAGTTTCAAACACGTTTTGAGCAAATTGTTTTGCTTCAGAAGTGTCAGATAGCAGTGCGACATAGCATATGCTGTTCCTCTTCTTTTATCGTTGTTCTCTGTGCAGGCTCTTCATTCAATCATTTCATAAAGAACTACTAAATCTCCTTTTCTCTTGAGTACAGTTCGGTTGAAATCAGTTCCTCACTTGCAGCGAAACAGATTCAAACTGTTGGCGAAGTTGATAGCCACTTATCCAAGTTTAGAGTAGAGTGTCGTGATGCTGCGGACATGAGTGGATGGGGTATGATGCTGTTAATTATCTGACCCTGTTTTTTATTTAAAGGTTAATATATTTTGCACACTGAAGTTATCTTGTTGAAGCAGGAGATGTGAATGAACAACCTTGTTGGGTTATCATGTTAGAGGTATGGCTACTTTCTCTATTTCTTCTGTCTGTAATGTTCTTCTCTAGGAAGATATGGTGTGTTTTGAAATTGACGACTGGCTTCCTTACTTGGTTTATGAAGCTCAATCATGATGAGAGAAATTGGGTAGTTGGTGAAAACTTGACTCCTCTTAAAATGCCGATTACAAATATATGGCATGCTCCTATGAGCACTTTACAAATTCTACACGAATGCAATTCCAATTCTTGTATCTTGGTTTCTGCAATACCATTAAACTGCGGGCCTGAAAGGTTCTGTCATAAACTTTATTCATCGAGCTTATTAACGATCGAGTAATCTTTTAGGTGCTTGACAATCTTCCGCATGATCTCATTTACTCTGAGAATCAAATTTCGCCATGGACGGAAGTGTGGGTTGAAAGCAAAGAAGGGTAATTCACTTTATACTGTTGAAACAACATATTGATGTTTGTACTCTGGAATTTTTTTTCCTGCTGAGCAAATTTTACATTTTTGACTGGTATGTTTCTTCAACAGTATATAGGTGGATAGCCTTATGAATGTTGCTAACAATGTAGTATTTGCACAAGCATAGTTATCTTTGCCTTTTGGTTGATAAATCCTGAGAACTAGTAATAGAAGTAGCAGTAAGTATTGTTTTCTTTTCTTCATAAGGATTTCTTATACCACTCCACTCCTAAAAAATATGGAAAATAGGAAAACTACACAAAGAAGTAAGAGAAGATAAGAGAGATATTTTTGCTTTATAGCGGGATTTAGCTTAATATTGAATCATTTCGGATTGGTGATTTTGTCCATTAGTAGTAGGTATGAATATGATGGCCAAGCAAGATTGTCAAATCTGCATATAATGCTAAAACACACCTGTCTTCTTTTAACAGGGAAAAACTCTCAGAGTTGTATAGGCCAATTCAAGACTCCTTAATCAAATCTTGCATGGAGATCATAGATATGCCTGATGCTACAACGGGTGGGAGCAGGGTTTCTTCAGCGATGAAAAGTATTTGGGCAAAAGTGTTTCCTAAGCCAAGATGGTGTTGGCTTCCCACTGGTTGCTTGGTAATAATTCTGCAATGTTGATTGAGCTCTTTCCTCAGTTTAGATTAACATACTCATGCAGTGCTACTTCCTAAAATTCAGAAACTTCTAGAAGTTTTACATGGAGCTTTACCGAAGATGTCTTTAATTGCTTCCGATTTCAGTTATCTACCTGATGTTAAAATTCCTGGTGAAAGAGCTCCTCTGGTTTCAACCAAGGTACATTTTACTTTTTCTCCATATGCCATTGATTTTCTGCGCTTCGTTGTAGCCTCTTTCGATCTTTGATTAATACTTGTAATACTAAAACATCTTAGTCAAATTAGTTTATCAATCAAGACAAGGGTGTATGTTTTGGACTCCTAAACCCTCTAACAATTAGAAAAAAAAGAAAAATTACTAAAAGTAGAAGAAACTGCACATACCCTCATATATGAATACATAGCATAGCTTTAATTTGGAAGTTGGAGAAAATTTTGAGCAAATAAGACGTCAAGAATACGTGGCACTAGAAGTGATGCAAGAATAAATAGGAAGCCATGGTAGGAGCCTGTAGATCCATCATTTCTCCTATTCTATAGGCTTGATAACTCAGAAATCTCTGACAGTTGTGCACCATTTGTAACTCGGTGAGTAATGGGCCCCGCCCTTCTACCCTTCTCCACTTAAACACTAGGTTTTTTGCCTGTGGTGGGGTTCAGAACCTGTGACATGCGCCTAACCTATACATCACAAGCTACGCTCTTACCATTAGACCAAAGCCCAAGAGCAACTTGGTTTTATCAATAAATTTAAATCAAATAGCTGGTCCGGTTTATAGATGTCCTTGTGCAGAACCTGGATATTCTTTTAAAACCTTAAACTGACAAAAAAGTCATGCTCTTACATTTTTGTGTTCTAATGGTTAAATTAGTGAGTCGCAAGGCAAGTTTGGTTGGGTGGTGGTTGTTGTGTCGGAACTGTTTCACTATTCTTCAGCCCTTCTGAAAGCATGTAGGTTACAAATTTACCTGTTAACTATTGAGATTGAAAAAGAAAAGATTGGTATCAGAAGAACCAATGTGAGTGTTGATTGCAATTTTCATGTACGTGCATCTCCACTTGATTTATTTTCTAGCACTTACCCTTTTCTTGCAAAATGTCACATGGGATAATATAATCCTCTGTCATCTTAAACGGCAAGTTGCTTTATGTATTTTCTCTTTTTAGGCATTTTTATGATAACAAGTTAACATAATTTTTATAAATTCATTTACCTTTTTCATATTAAATAAATGCAGAAAGATGGCAGCAGCTCTGATTACAACAGTTATTTGGATGCAAAGGTGATCCGATCCTTATCTTTTGTATTCCTCCCTGGATTTTATCATGAAATGTTGTTTATAGAGGTATTTGTATGTTGGACTTTCACTCCAGCAGAGAGAGTACTTTGTTTTTTATTTCAGCCTAGATTATATATAAATGCTCTTGGACCGGAAAATAAGTAAGAAACCACTTATTTTCCAGGAAAACACATTTTCCGTGGAAAATAATTTCCTTCATACCAAACACGCCCTAAGCTACCACTGCATGTACTTGTTATCTGAATAATTGTTTTATTAACTTATGTAGGAGTTGTGTTTGTATTTGATGTTTCGATCATTATGCTCTTGAACATGTGAAACTTTGAATATCTATTGTGTAACAACATCTGTACTTGGCCGAAATGTTTTATATTTTTTTTATTTGCAGGGGGACGCCGACATATTCTTTCCTACAGATTTTTTGCTCTTGGAACAGATGGATCATTACTGTTCTGGGTGGATGAAGCTGCAAAAAGATGACACGTCATTGAAGCGGGGAAAGAAAAGACGTACTCTTTCGGTAAGTCCTACTCTTCAGCTGTGAGAAACCAAAGTTCCCTTATGTATTTTTTGTTGGTATATATTCATTCATGTAAAAAATTGTTGTAGCTCGGTACAGCAGCGTTCATGGAAGAATTTGGTCTCCCAACAAAGACGAGAACTAAAGATGGATATAACCCTCTCCTTGATGACTTCAAGAACACCAAATTTTATTTGAGCGTTCCTACACATAACATCAAATAGACTATTCCCTTTTCCTCTTCTATAGCAAGGGCGTCGAGGAGACATGCTACACAGTGTAGAGAGGACACTTCTCAGTGTGGCTTAAATTGATAAAACATAGTATTGTACAAGCTTGAGTTGAGCATCTGTAACAAAGTCTAAAGAGGCTGGAGTTACAAAGTTTGTGAAGTTCTTTTATAGCAAAGGGAGCCTGTTTGATCAGATTAAGAATGTTTGTGGTTCTTGATTTCGGGTAGGGGTGTCAAATGGACGGGTCAATGACTGGCCCAACCTTAGGCGGGTTGAACAGGTTAAATGGGTTTGGGTTCAAACTGCCACCCCTAGTTTCGAACGATGGTATTCAAGAGCTGAGAGTTGTGGAAGACATTGATATTCTTTATGTTTCAGATTCTTTAGAGTTACTGCTACATTATTGTGATATGAGTTGGGGTAAGTTCTTTAGTCAAAATAAATGTGATGAAAGTATGAAAATTTAAAACATGACTACAGATCAGAGAGTTCTTTGTAACAGGAATTCTAGCACTGGCAAGGTGGTTTTTTTTTCTCTCCCTATATTGTCCTATCTACAGGATATAATGAGAATCTTATGTTCTTTTATTTTTCTAAGATTTTGTTTTATAGGACCCTTTCAAGCTGGTCTAATCAATTTTGTTTTAGATTTTGGTCTATCAAACCAGTTGCTTAATGTAAGCATTGTGGAAAGAATGTCCCAACCAGGCATTGTAATTTTAATTTTTAATATTTAAAAAATTTAAATTATTTTTAAATATCAACAGAGGAATAGAAAAACTATTTCCTCTAACATCAATCAGAAGGAAGATTCATTAGATTATGTGCATATGAGATGTTTACTATCAAATCATTATTAAGCATGTGCTTCTTAATAGCCAGCATAAACATAATCAAGTTTCTAGCAATTTTTATTTTCTATCTAATTATGGTAAATTCAAAATTAGCTAATTTGAGATTAAAATAAAATGAAGTATTTAAATTTTTTTTTTGGTCATTTTGAAAAGAAAAAAATGTCATAACTAGTGAGTTTACTCATTTAATTGTTAATTTTAATAAGTAAAATAAACTATTTCTTCTTTTAAAGAAAGAGAGCACATAAAAGATATATTTTATACAGGTAAATACACTATTATTTTTAATGAGAGGTCTCGAATTTGAATCATAAGAATGAAGTTACCTTTGTTAGGAAACACTGATGTGTTATTTTTCGATGCAAATTCAGATGAGTCACTGCCCAAAGTACCATATACTATAGGTGAAAAAAGGAAAATCTAATAAATAAATAAGTATAAAAGATATTGTTTTTTTTCCCCTTCTTTTGAAGGGATAAATAGAATCCTCTTCTGGAAATGACCATTGAGTTATAGTACCTCTCTTATCCGAATATAAAGACGCGCTCACTAATTTAGTGTGTGAGATTGAAAACAGTGAGAGTATACTCTCTCTCACCGGCGCCGGAAATTATATTCAACGGTGAGTAGGTGGTTTCGAGTCTATTTTTTGCAGATAAGGACCTCAAGTTTCTTGAAGTGTCAAGTTTTGCTAGTCTTCTTCGGCAAAGCTGGTACTACTTGCTGCCCCTTTTTCATCGGCAGTTTTTCTCCGGCGTAATTGAGTTGTAAGCTCTCTCTCTCTATCTCTCTTAATTTGGAATTTTGCAATTTTAGTTTATTTATCAGGTTACTATTTGATTTATGCTTAAAATGACAGACTATGAATATCCACATCTTTTAGAAATGAATATATGATTTATGTACTGAGACTTATAGGGTTTTTACACTATCAGGTTAAATTGACTTACAACGATAGAGTAACTTTTTGTAAACAAGAAAATAGAATAATAACATAGTATAACAGATTAAATTGTCATTGATAGTGTAAAAATTATTTACGGTGTCAATGTATATAACTTAAATCCTTTAGAGATTTGAAAGGTGAAAACTTTAAACATGAAAAGTTGGGGAGCTGCCACTTCTTAACCGCCCTTGCGAGTTCTGATGGTAGTCCAAGCTGAGGTGATAATGTTCACACTAGATATGGTGCAGGGGAGCTAGAAAAATCTTGTTGCAATATGTAATAACGGTGAAAGAGTGAGCAGCGATGGGCACTTTATTCTTGAAATGTTTTTACCACAGTGTTACATTTGATGAGTTTAACCGACTTGGTTGTATTCGAGGGAATAGCTTCACTTATTCTATGTGCCAAAGTAGCTTTGGACATGTAAGGAGATGCAGAATTTAGCAAAGTTGAATTAAGAATAATGAAGCTCGAAAACAAAACAGGCTTAAAATTTTGTGACACTATTTTGTGGCGTCTTGAGTCTCTTGCTTCACGGTTGTTATTTTTTAAATGACATCATTTTAACTAAGGTAAAATACCAACTTAACAATGTGTGGTTTCATTTACTTTTATTGTTTTTGCTTATTCATTTTAGCCTTTTCTTTTTTGTCTGTCTTTTACTTTTACTTTTACTTTTCTCCTCCCTCTCCCCAATTGGCACCCATCAAATATGTGTTTGGGGTAGAAATTTGACAAAGGAAGACGAGGATAGAAAGGGAGATTAACAAACCACTAGTATGGTTTCATGTGGGACTTTTGGGTTGCAATGATGATTGGAGGTTGGACCGTGGAGCTGAATTGAAGCTGTCGGAGTGGGATGACATAATGGGCTGATAGAGCTAAAGGAGAAAGGAGGAGGGGAAGAGCAGTAGCAGCAACAATAGCATAAGTAGACATAGAAACGTGAGGAAAAAACGTGAAGCAAAATGTATGTAACTGAAGCATGACTAGAAGAAAAGAAGAATTGTTTGGTGGATTTGTGAGTTGGTAGACTGCCAGCTGTAATGCAGTTGAAATTGGCAGTTGGGAGTGGACGTGAAGACCTGAAGGTACTAGAAGAAGAAGAGGAGAGAATGAATAGAAGGGGTGAAGTGGCATTTTATTTTATTATCTCAGTTTCCAATTTGGTTCAAATTCTGTTGCAGAAACATGCCAAAGTAGTGAAAGCTTAAGTTTTGAGTTCATTCTAAAAGACTAAAGAAGTTCATTGTTTGTCTAATTTGTGGATTGCATTCATATTTTCGTCTTATTTAACTTAATTTTGTTGTCTTTTGTATGTTTTTAGATCGCTGTGTTTCTGAGTTCGTGATCGTGCACCATAGACTAGCTCTCGCTACAATGGCATCTCTCTCATGGTGGAATCCTGCTCCTGCCACGACTGCAATGGCAGCTTGTTCTCCAACTCCAACATCCTGTAAAACCTCTAACTCATTAGCACTGCCGCGCTCTGTGTTTGTCAGCAAGCAAGCAAAGTTAATGAAACAAGCCAATGGTCTTTTGGTTATAACACAGCAACAGTCAAAGAAGAAGAATCATTCATTCACCAATTCCAGAAGGAATACCAGCATTCAGTGTCTCTCACAGGAACAGAAATGGACTCATGAAGGTTCCATTACCGAATCGCTCCCCAATGGCATGTTTAGGGTCAAATTGGATAATGCAGATGTCGTTCTGGGATACATTTCTGGGAAGATACGAAAGAATTTCATACGGTTGTTGCCAGGCGACAGAGTCAAAATTGAAGTAAGTCGGTATGATTCCACTAAAGGACGCATCATTTATCGTCTCCGCGGTGGCCGAGAAGGCTAGGACTCAAGTGGTGGTGGAAGGCTATTTTGTAAGTGACCATGTTTGCTGATGAACCAACATTCACCTGTTCCTATCCTTGCTTATGAGAAGATAACCTAGAATGTATATTCATATACTTGGATATTCATAGGCATTTACTTTTGTTCTTGATGTTTATGTTTTGATAGTAAACCAAGTTTGGAAAAGCAAAACTTGTGCATCTTTTTGGCTATTTTCTTGATTATTTTATTCAGAAACATGCTCATTATTTTGAGTCTAAAAATGTAGTACCTCTTTATGTTGCTGTAGGACTACTATTGTATAAGTAGAACAAATACAATAATTTAGTATCCATAACATGTGAATTTCGAATAACCTATCCATTCAAAACTAATGAAAAATTCTTGGAAAAAACAAATTAAGGCCTGTAATCGAAATTCTATGGAAGTAGTACTGCAAAAGCAATTACAACATTGACTAAGAAGATGATATAGAGGAAAGTTTCTCATTCCAAACATCATGGAGCACGAGGAAATATCTCAGCCCTTTAAGGTATCCTTGAAGTTTCTTTACTATAGCCTCTCTATTTGTCAGTTCAAAACTTGGTCTATGTAAGAGATTGGAACATCTCATTTGGAAGTCTTTGCACCATGAGATCATCAGATACACAAACATAATCTTTTATCAAAATGCCTTTATCACTTTTTCATTTTTATAAATAAGTTGTGCAAGTGTTGTCTTTCCTTGGCCTGACATTCCAACTATGCTTATTACAGATAAACTTGTTTCATTATTTGAGCTAGTTAACATGCTCACTAAAACATTTTAGAGTTCAATTTTCTGAGAGAGGCTTTGCTAAGTTGAATAACACAAGAAGCAGAATAAAGCAATACCTCAAATATTGCTATTTTCCCCAAATATAAATAAATTGCTGTCAAATATATGACAAACTGTCACTGTGTTGTAAATTGTTCATGGCAATTAAGCCACCGGCCAAGAGTACAGAAAAGAATAATTTATTATCATGCATTGCTTAAATTTTAATGATCACTAGCTCTTTATATTAAATATTTACGTACATAGTAACTTTTAGTGAATTATAAGGCAATATAATTAGAAGAAAAAGATTTTTCGGGATATCGGCCTAAGATCGTGTAAGTAAGTAATCTCATATTCTTATATATATTTGCATGACTCATCACATGGAATAATTACTTCACACTTGTTCCTAATTATATGCTCAGAATAAGGATGTTATTGTTAGTTGTCCGGTGGTAAAATGGTTAAAAGAAAATAATCAACCACTTATATTATTCACTAAAAAATGAGTTGGATAATGAATTTTTTAAAAACGGGTCAAATATCGATAAAAATCATATTTCCATTTAGAAAATGGATAACTAACGTGTTTAACTTTTACATTTGTAAAACCTCAAATTGGGGTTCTTTAAAATTCTCCCAAAATGATCAAATTCAAGAAACCATGGATACCATATTATCCGCCGATTAACCCGTTTTTTATCCGTATTAAATATGGGTCAGGTCGATAATTTATCCATTTTCGACCCGTCCCGTATCCGATCCGACCAGTCCGTTTGCCATCCCAGCTAGTCGACTAGTGCAAGAAAATGGTCACTTTATTAACACTATATATAGCTAGCCCAGAGAAGTGCATTCTCCCATATTCTTCACCTGCTTCTTTAATTAACTAACTATTTTCTTACTTCCTCTTCTTCATAATTAGTATTCTTTACTATCATATAATGGGTACTATCTCAGCTCGTTTTCTTGGAGTTGTTGTGTTGGTTGTTCTTGTCATAAGTGGGGCTATGGCTTTTGCTGACATTGAGCATCCGTCTGGTATGTTGGCCGGTAGGCGGTTGCTCGCTGACGGTGGCTCCGCCGGTGACGGTGTTGTTGGGGGAGGACTGCTGGGTTCGATAGCAGATGCTTTCGGTCTTACTGGAAATTTGTTGGGAGATCTTATTGGAAAGGATGGTGGAAACTAATTTAATTTACATATATAATCCTTGCAAAAGATTTCTTTAATTAGGTTGCTGCTATGCATGCAGTAATTAATAACGTGTGTTTCTTTTTCTTTTGAATAATTGGCTCTTGAGCTTCTTGCTCTTTTCATTTATACTATGTATTTGTGTGGTTTCTTTCTTCTCTCTAAACTTTCGCCGTTTCAATATTGTATCCAAAGTTTATTTAATGACAATAATAGAGAAAGAATTACTACTTTACATTCGTTTTGTTTTCAAGTGTACTCTACCTTTCATCTCCAAATATTACAAGTATGAGCAGCAAAAGGTGAGGAATTCTTTTGCATCAAATTAAAGAACTCAAAAAGAGGTCTTCAATAGTGGATATATAATATTCTCTTGTGTATACAAGCTTGTCACTAAAGTAAAATGAGAAATCTAAAGTTTATTGTTTACTTACAAATATAAAAATGGATATTTTTTTAGGGTAAACCAATAAGAAAATAGTGTTAAACAAATTGCACTAACAGTGTATAATAATTTAGGCTACTTTGGAGAAAATAATGCACGAGCGAGAGTTGCAACTTATGTTTTATACTTCAATGTCACACAAGACGGAGGGTGATTTGTGTGGTATCCAATTTTCGCGTGCATTGATTATAGAAGGACCTGGTTCTTCTACGTGTTCCTTACACTATAGTAGCGGAATAATAAATACAGAAAGTAAAGAACACAAGTATTTTTATGTGAAAAACACTCGGCTCAAAAGGTGAAAAAACCACGACCTACTACCCAATAGGATTTTCTCCAAATACTTTACTACAACTCTGAGCTAACAACAAAGTTTACAAACTCTTGCAAACCTAAGGATTAACCCTAACCCTTATAGAAACCAGCCACATGCTGTTGCGATTGCTTCAAGTTAACTCTAACTTGAACAATGCAACTCGAGTTTACAACCTCTTGCAAACCTAAGGATTAACTGTAACCCTTATAGCAATACGCCACAGGCTGTTGCGACTACTTCAAGTTAACTCTAACTTGAATGATACGACTCAGGTACCTAGTACAGTTGCTTCTAAGAAAACTGAAAGGTACACCTCAAAACGCCTACTACACTTTGAACTAGAAATAAAGAAAGACACATAAAACTCTTTATGGAGCTGGTTCTTCAATCTGGTTCATGTAGCTTCAGGATCTTACTCTTAAATCTCACAGGAATTGCTCACAAAATGCCTTGCTATTTTGCTCTCAATTTGTGATTAACTTCAGTATGTGTGCATCACCTATAAAAGAGAACAACACTGATATTTATAAAATTAGTAAATAAAGATTAACTAGAGTTCTAATGTTTTACTCTTCCTTGGTGGAAGAGTTCTAGTCAACTTCAACTTCTAACTCTTCCCTTATCTTGGATAGAGTTCTCTTCAAGTAAGGAGTCCTACTCCTTTTCAAATATTCAACCTTTTTGTTCAGGGAATATCATATATAACCACTTATACTTATCCCTTTCACGTGCAAGCCTTTTGCTTAATTTTGTCTGTTACCTATGTACACTGTCCATGGATCTGGTTCATGCATGTGTTCCTTTGTCAATCATCAAAACAAACTTACTCAGGCCAACAAATTCCCCCTTTTTGATGATGATAAACTTTGTGCTTTTCATAAGCATGAAACCTGTTTCAACTCAGCTCAACATCAACATACTGTTAGAACATTTTCCATTTTAAAGACACAAATCATCAAGGACCAGGTTCATTAGGTTATAAATATCACAGTCCAAAGCAAAAGTACACCTTATCTTCCCTATTTTGGCAACATCGAAAAGTTGCATAATTAGGTTAAGTAACCAGATTTTAGCAGATATCACTCATGGCCACTAGGGCTACTTGAAATGCAATCATGGATTCAAGTATCATTTATCAACTTAATGATAGTAGCCATCTAAGAAGCATCAACAAATAGTTAGAGCACAAAAACAGTCGATTATCATTGATACTTAGTCATCCACAAGCATAAAGAGAAATAAAAATACTAGATCATGAGCAAAAGAAACAAAAAACAAAAAACAAATCTCATCTGGGTCACTGGTTGATCTAACTATGCTAGGAAGGTCTTAAGACTGGGAAGGACCAGATTCTTGGTTCTTGGCTTGAAACGGTTTCAGCATATCATGAAGAACACCATCATTATTTTCTTTCTCCTTTGCTAGCTCAGCTCTGAGAGCATCTCTCTCAGTTTTCACTTCTGCCAACCTCTTCTTCAGCCTTTCAATTTCAGTATCCTTAGCCCCACTTTCTTGCACCAAGGCTCGCACTTTGATGTTCACAGGTACCTTTTTTGGATAAACCAGGTTCTTTGGGAGTGATGTGGACTTCATAGTCACAAGCAGTCAAGTATTTACCCCAAAGTGATCCTTGCTTGTACCAACTTCTCATTTCTTGATGGGTACCTTGAAGTGTGCAAGTACAACCGTGAGAATAAAACCATAGGGTATGGCATGAGTTTTGGTGCCAGTTAGAACCCTATCAAGAAGATGAATAATAAATCCAGGCCAATTGATTTGCCTCCCACTGTCCAAATATTCCATAAGGACCAGGTCCATAAATGTGGAAATGTGCCTCCTTTCATGTCTAGGTAGGACAACTTTGTTAACAAATTCAAATAACACTTTGTGGGGTGGTTTCATCTCACTTTAATACACATCCTTGGGCTCAAGCTCTTCATCATTGTCACCAAGCTTTCTTGCAATGGCAAGGGCAGTAGGGAGATTCTCTAGACTTGGCCATTTGAGCTTCTTATAATTATTGTACCCTTCAGCAGGTACACCTAAGATCTCTCCCAGTTCTTTATCATCAAAATTCACTGTCACCCCCTTTACCACACTGTTGACCCCACCATATTTGATCTCACAATTTGCCATGAACTCCACAATCTCAGTTCTGGCCAACTTTCCATCCATCTGAAGGACTATGTCCTTCCATCCTTGCAATTGTAACTTCTCCAGCAGCATTACCATACCTTCCTCCTCCAAGTCCCCGAGGAGTCTACCTTTCAAGATGGTTCTCTTCCCAAACTTAACCACCATCTTGTCCTTCTCAGCATCAAATTCTTCTTCTCCTTCTTCTCCACTCCATTCCTTTTCCTCCACTATTTTTACTTTTCTTGGTTTCAATGCAGACCTGGTTCTGGCTCCGTAGTCTTAGTTTTTGAAACAGACTTCTTTGTGGAAGTCTTGTCTTTCTTTGTCTTTGGAGTCACAACTTCCATTTCTTCTGTA